TTTAAACACTACTATGTAAATTTATAGATATACATATTTGTAACTCATGGTTGATTGATATAAACATATTAATTTTTTTAACAATATAACTTGACAATAATGATATTATTTTTTTAATCTTTTTTTTTCAATTTAAAGAATAACATTTTTTGACTAAAACTAAACTTTTTGCAAAAAAATAAAACATTCAGCATAAATTAAAAATTAATATATTAGTACATTTTAATTCATTACAAATTAACTAAACATACTATACATTATATTATCCAATTCAAAAATAATTAAACTAGAATATAGGGTACAATCTAGCGTTTAGAGTGTTGAGCTTCATGAGACTAGATATAAGATTAATTCTCGCCAAAGGATTTTTAACCGAGAAAGTGATTTTATTCACATTTAAGCAAGGTCTACTAAAGGTGAGAGGGTTGAGTTAGATGGTTAGGTGATTTAAGATGGGAGATGATTATTACTGTATTCGAGGCTTCGATTCTCAATAGGGCAATCTAATTTTTTTTATTAAAAAAAAAAGATGGAGTCAAGTACTGGAGTAGATTTTCTTTGTTTTTTTTTATGAAAAAACTTTCTACTAAAGTTAGATATATTAATATCTCAAAAAAATTATCACGAAATGTTAAACCCTCCAAATGATAAATATACATATTTTCTATAAAATATTTTGTACCATTTTTGTAAATACCACGACACTATATTCTTGTGCTGGACCAATGTAGAAATGAAATAGGTGTTTTTCTTTAACTTTTTGTTCGTACTTAGGCTTTTAAAGGGGAAAAAAATTATATTTTAGTTTAATTTTTTTAAATTTTACAATGCAATATAAAGTCTGTTAAATTAAATTGTAATAAATTCAAGTATACCAATAATTTTTTTTTAATTTATGCTAAATGTTTTATTTTTTTGTGCAAAATTAGTTTTCGTTAAATAATCTTATTCATTAGATTGAAAAAAAAAGAATTAAAACAATAGTATCATTCCTGTTAAATAATATTATTAAAAAATTAATATGTTTATGTAAACCAAACATGACTTACAAATATGTAATTATAAATTTGTACATTAGAGTTAAAAAGTAAGTTTTTTTTAAAAGATCATATAGTATATTCTTATAGTTAGGAAAAATAGTAAAAAGAAATTAAAAAACAGAAAAAAATTAAATAAAAATTGAAAAGAGATTTTTTTGTTATTTTTACAAATTTTTCGGTCAATTTTATAATTTTTAAAACTAATAGGATATTTTTATAATTAAAACTAATAGAATTCTGTTAATTTAAACGGAAATTGGCAAATTGGACAATATCGACTAACGGTTGGATAGCTTAGGATAATATTGGTTAATCAAAAAAGAATATGGTAGAATTGACAATGCGTGTCAATCTTTGGGTAGATCGGTCAATTTTTCCCTGTTTCAGTTGTTTCAGTTTAGCTGCGAACAAGTTTTGTGTTTTGAGATAAATGAAATTTACCGTCTACCAACAAATTAAAAAATTACTCCTACATAATTCATTTGTCCAGTTCAGACCACACAAATTATTTTGATCTCACAAGTGGAAAATTGGATAGGTAATGCTCGTCGCTACCTCTAAAGGGAAAAGTATCAAAATTGGAACTGCATATCGGCAGTATATCCAAGAGCTTCAAGATGGGCGGCCATGGCTTTGTTCATAGGTGGAGGTCCACATCTCAATATCTGCAAAAGATGAAAAATAAAAAGGGTAAACCTTAGATGTACCCAGTTCGATTGCAATTTCAGCCATCGGCACAATGCCTACTAAAATCGTAAGAGAATTAAGAGATAAATGGTCCTAAAAAGACCAGAGTTACATATTACTTTAAGACAGCACAATGCAAAACAATGTCTCTAAGGACGTTGATATATATTGCAAAATTTCAGCCATTGGCATAATGCCTACTAAAATCGTAAGAGAATTAAGAGATAAATGGTCCTAAAAAGACCAAAGTTACATATTACTTTAAGACAGCACAATGCAAAACAATATACATATATATATATATATATGGGAAGCGGCTAGAGTCTCGTTACGGGACGATTCCGTTTTAAGATAATAACCGTAGGATTAATTAGGCTATTTAACAACCGTAGGATTACAGTGAGGGTGCATCATAGTTAAATATACCTAAACACACCTGATTAAACTGAAAAAATTAGAAAAATTAGTTAATTTTGCTCAAAGCTTTAAGTGTCTAGCCAACTTGACCCAAAAAGATTTTTGCGAAACTAAATCCATCATCTAAGTTTTAATTTCTGGCCAATTTCATCCAATTGACAAAAATTCCGTTAGATTTAACACCTCCGCTGACATTCCGTTACGGATAAAATGACGGTTGTACCCAAAATTTTAACCGCGTCGTTAATTTTACCCTATTTATTTTTGGTTAGCCAATTTTGTCCTTTACGTTTGAAATTTTTGCCAATTTCATTCAATTAGCCCAGTTTCTGTTAAACTTAAGGGATTTCAGTTAATTTTTAACAAAAATATATCTCAATAGTATCAAAAAATTATAAAAATAATCCCAAAATATGTAAAAACAAAATAATCTCTTTTCATTATTTATTTATTTCTTTTTAGTTCATTTTATTTCTCTTTACTACTTTTTATAACCATCAAAATATATTATAAGATCTTTAAAATAATAAGTATTTATTTTCAAACTCTATTTTTCATGTGCAAACATGTGAGTTTGGTTCAGAAGTAATTTTGTCATATTTCTAAAATTTTTAATTAATTTTTTTATTTTTTGTTAGTTACTATTCTTTTTCTCATACTTCCTAACTTGTATATATTGCTACTAGTATAATTACTAAATTTCATTAATTAATTTACCTTTTATTTCATAGATTATTAAAAAAAAAAGTTTAAAAAATAAAGAAAATGAGGAAGAAAAAATTGAGTTGAAATAAATACGAAAATTAACAAGTTATCATTCTAAACCAAAAAAAAAAAATCTAAAAAAAAAACAAACTGCTTAGACAAGTCTTTCCTCCTTGACTTCTTGTAATTCATAGGTGAGTTACGAAATATAAATTTTACTCAATCTAGCCTAAAATGATTATTTTGTTTGTGACAGTAAAAATAATATAAAAATTATTTAATCATTTGAAATAGGAAAGAGTGCTAATTTATTTAGTCCACGATGATGAATTATTTTAAATTTTGTTGACACAATTTTTATTCTTTTTTAGTAATTGTTATTGTTACTTTGCCGATAGTTAAACTATATAAGCAATCATTGAATTTCACGACAAAGATAAATACGTATATTTTTTAACAGCATATTTTTTAATATTTTTTTAAACCTCAAAATTGAAATGCAAAAGGTAAATTTTTTTCTTGAAATATAGTAATTATACTAGTGCCAACATATACAAGTCCGAGAGTACTAGAAGAAAATTGTTAAAAAATAAAATAAAACAAATTAAAAATTTTTAAAAAATATAAAAAGACAAAATTACCTCTAAACCCAACTCAAGTGTGTTGCACATGAAAAATGTTGCTGAAAATAAATAATTATTTTTCAAAGATCATATAGCATATTTTGATGGTTATGAAAAGTAGTAAATAGAAATAAAATAAAATAGATTAAAATGAATACAAGTGAAAAGGGGATATTTTGTTATTTTTACATATTTTTTTAGGCAAGAAAAAGGATGAAAACGACGTTCAGGTTCCGGATAACTCAAAAAATATTTTGTGAGTTATCTTTATAATATTTTGAAACTATTGAGGTATTTTTGTTAAAAACTAACGGAGATCCGTTAAGTTTAACGAAAATGTGACCAATTGGATGAAATTGACAAAAATTTCAAACATAAAGGACAAAATTGGCTAATCGAAAATCAATAGGGTAAATTGACGACGGAGTCAAAACGGTGTAACCACTTTTTTTTTTCCTTTTCCGTTACTTTGCACAATTTTTTAGGAAGGAGAAGGGAAAAAAAAGGAAAAATAAATAAAATATTTTATAATTTTTGTGGAACTGAAGAAAAGTGGCAGCGATGGAAATGCGGGTAGTGATGGAGGGAGAATTGTGTATTGTTGGTGGAGAGAAATTTTTATGTTTGTGGTGATGGTTTGAAATCCTCACAGATTTAGGAAGTGGTGATAGTAATTTTTAGAAGAGAAGAGGAAAAGGCGGTGATGGTGCGGCAGCAGAAAACAAGTAAAAGAAGAAGAAACAGAAGAGGCTTAGGGTGAAAGCAATGAATTAGATTAGGAAATAAATTATATGGTAGGGAAGTTATAATAATTAAATGGTAAGATAAGCGTATGTTACTGAATAACAAAACATTAGGGATAAAATGTTAAAATTTTGGGTCACCAAAATTTTTTACCAATAAAAAATTGTATAAAGTAACGGAATGTCATTAGAAATATTAAATCTAACAAAATTTTCATCAATTTGGATTAAATTGGCAAAAAGTTGAAATTTAGATGATGAATTTGGTTTTCCAAAAATATTTTGGGTCAAATTAGCCAGAAACTTGATGTTTTGGGCAAAAGTGATAATTTTCTCAATTAGTTTATGATATTATAGAATGTTATTCACCACATGGTTACATTTTATACCCTCAATTTTTATTGGTTGAAGACAAAATGGAACGGTTCCGTAAAAATGACCAACAGGACTCTAGATTTTCTCATATATATATATATATATATATATATATATATATATATATATACTAGTGATGCTTGGCCGCGCAATGCCCGGCCCTGACCCAGTATATATGTGATTTTTTTGTCAATAACAATTGATAACAATTTGTTGAATCTTAACAGCACATGTGTATGTGGTGAACGTAATTAAAAAAAAAATTTCCTCCATAATAAGTTCAAAATATTTCCATAAATCTATAGAATGAAATATAGGGATATAAACATCCGAGAAATAGAGTATCGTTACATTAAATATTCTCGGAGTGATTTATTTAAGTTTGTAAAAATGCAAGTAAGATGTGGATTTTAGTCGAGCTTTTCAAGCTTCTTCTGGGGGCTAGGATTGATATCCTCCATTGGGCTTGCTGAGTCGATACTCCGTTTTGCTGTAGGTTTTGGCACTGTCATTTCTGTATGTCCTTCTGAGGTTATCTCTTCAAATGGCAATGCTTTCCTTTGGAGTGTTTCATTCATGAAAAGATCTTGGATTAAGTATGATTTTACAATACTATATTTTTCTGAGGCACGTCCCTGGAATGTACTATCGTATTTTCTGAGGAATGTAACAATGGTGTGTTGCTTTAGAGCATTTTGAATAGTTGCACTGAGGTCAACATCCTGCATTGGAAACAAAAGATCATTGAATTGGTTAAATGATAGTTTATTATTTAGTGTAGTTTTGAGCAATATCATTGAGTGATGTGTACCTGATCTTCTGCAGTTCTCAAAGCCTCAGCATTAACGCCAATGAGTTTTTCAGCTTCTGTTGCAAGGACAGATGCCGTGATCGTGCCTGTTGAGTCTGTCAATTCTAGCAGAATTCTAGTTCTGTATAGGAGTAAATTTTGAATAGTTAGTGGTGTATTAAGTTATTTTTAGCATTCATGTAAATACATTTGGTAGGTTTATAAGAGATTTTTAGTGGATATGAGTAAATATTTACCTGGCCTCCAACTTAACATTTTGGTTGCACGATATGCATTTAATGTTTCGACCAACATCGTCATTGATTGACTTTTGGCAGTTATTGCATGTGGCAAACCAGAAAGCGGATTGAGAAGGAGCTAAGGTTGTTTTGACTTTTACCCATGCTGTATAGAACTGAGATTGAAAGGTATAAATGTTAGCAGGTCTATAATTGAATGTATAATAAATGATTGAAGCAACATTAGATATACCTTTTTGTTGAAAAGGCTCAATGCTTGGTTGATTGTTGAAATTGTTTGCTCCAAAGGTCGAGGGAGTAAAATATATGTGTTTTTGTATGCTTGACCTTCTATCATTCCCATTATCTCTTCTCTGTTCGTTTGGTACTTGTTACAGTAAGTTACAGTAAGTTATAGTAAGTTATATTAATGCTAAAAAATTTAATTTAACTTTGTGGTTTATACCAGTCACGAAGAACATCGCGGGTTTTTGTTGGAGCATTTATTACCAATGCTGATGACGGCCTCGTAGTCAAGGAAAGCACTGCAAAGATGACCATACTTTGATGTTAACATACAAATTGAGTATAATATTAACAAAAATGATGTTTTAGTTACCATTGAATGTTGAGGCTCGTAGTTTGAAGCATAGGAGAGTAGGAGTTATGTTAACCATCTGTGCAATTGTTTGACCCTCATCAAGATGGAAATCATTCCACAACGTTATTATCATGGAGCACTTTCTGAAAAATAAGCATTGTGTTTTGTAAAATATAAATCTATGTAATTAATATAAAAGCAAGTATATAGATATTTTTTTGTTGGTACTTACTCTTGATTGATTGCAACAATGTCTCTTGAAGTGGTGTTGTTTTTTTCTTGAGTTTTTTGGGGTAACACTTGAATAACCAATACTTCAAAAGCTACATATACACAAAGTATCCGTTAGATATTAATGTAACAATTGTAATAAAAATAATTCAGACCCTTTATGAAATGCAGGTATCTTAAAACTTACTAATAGAAGTATCAAAATCAGCATATTTTTGTATGTCTAACATGGTCGCTGTGTCTATGTTGAATGGCAAAGAAGGCGGTATTGGTTCATCATGTGGCTCAACCAAGGTGCTGTTGTTTATAAACCATGAATACGAGTAAGCACTGATTTTATAGTTCTCATCAACTCGGTTGACAAAGGCATTTGAGATCCAATATCGGTTACACGGTATAAGAAGATCATCAAAGTAGCGGATATCGTTGTCAAAAATGGCAGCACCAACCTTTGTCCCCTGGAAAAAAAGCTGTTAGTCATTATAAACTTATTTTTAATGTTTACTTTAAAAGTCTTATTTTACTTCCTCATCAGTGAATACATATCTTCTTATCTCATTTGTCTTTCCGGAGCGAGTTTGTTGAATTTTAGACCTTTCAACCACTTGAATGAGCCAGTCCACCTTGACCTTCTTCCACCAACTTGTGGTTTCACTTGGTTGATTATAACACTTTGCCTTGACATTTTCACCTGTGATATAATAAATAAATAAATATTATTAGAGCAATTGTACGCATAAAAAAATATTTTATAATCAGGATTATTATGTAAAGAGAGAAGGTAGAATAAATACTCTGTAGAAGGATGACAAAGCTGGAGTATTTCTTTGTACACTATGTTTTTCGTCTGGTCCAGACATTTTTTATTAAAAAATGTTGGTTTAATAAGAACCTTTACACTTGAAGATGTTTTAGCTCTTGAGAGAGCAACATACAATTGGCCATGTGAAAAGACGTGTTCTTTCAGATAAATGCCTACCGAGTCAAGTGTTTGGCCTTGAGCTTTATTAATGTCATTGCAAAGCATAAGCGTAAGGGGAATGAGTTCTTTTAAAAGGCACTGGATATTGTTCATCACTGGGTGGTTCCAATGGGATTCTTGGAATTAGAACTTGTTTTCCAATAAAATCTCCTACAGCTATTTTTGCATAGATGACATTCTTTTGTAGTGATATACATGTTAGTCTAGTTCCATTGCAAAGACCTTCTGTGGGGTCCAAATTTCTAAGAAGTACCACTGGGGCATTAACTTTGAGACTTAATTTGTAGGAGGGCAAACCTGTTGGGGTCATTAAATTGAGAAAATCTTGGTATTGTGTTTGATTATTGGGATCTAGGGCTCATCAAAACTTGTATACTCAGTCAAAGTACCGAAAAATTTATTTATGAGCATGTCATTTATTTCATCGACAAATTGGTTCTTTGTGGTTAGAATAGCTGCGTTTATTGATATGTGGCAATGTTGTTGGGATAAACCAAAATTTGGATACACGCTATCAATAAGTTGTTGCAAAGAATTAGTTTCATCTTGGTAAGGGATAATCATTGAAGTTGGAATAGTAATCATGTCATCATTTGTTGAAGGTTCAGTTCCATCACCAATATTAAGGAGGAATTTTATAAATCTGGGATCAAATTGTGCCCGCATATTCTCTGTAAGTTGGAGTTTATGAAGGAATGGCCAAAGAGGAGAATTTATTAAGCAAGCATCCATTGACTGAAATTTTGTTCCTTTTTTGAACTACAGGTAGAACTTGCCTAAAATCTCCTCCCAAGACAACTACTTTACCACCAAAAAGTTCTTTGTTTTCCATCAAATCTTGGAGAAGAGTATTCAGAGCTTCTATTGCAGTTCTCTTTACCATTGGGGCTTCATCCCAAATAATGAATTTTGCTTCTTTGATTAATTTTGCTAGGGTACTTCGTTTACTAACTCTGCATACGATAGAGTGGGTAATATCAAGAGGGATTTTGAATCTAGAATGAGCAGTTCTATCTCCTGGAAGTATGGAAGCTGCAATACCCGATGTGGCTGTTGCAAGAGCAAAAAAATTCTTTGACCTAACATTTGCTAGTAATGCTCTGTACAAAAATATTTTCCCTGTTCCTCCGGGGCCATCAACAAAGAATGATTTCTTTTTGTTGTTATAAATGGTATCAGTTATTTCATTAAATGCTTGTGTTTGTTTTTCATTTAATGCATATTTGGAATTTAAGTCTTCTTCAGTAACAATTATGTTCTTTTCAGCTTCCATTTCTCTAGTAGATGGTTGTATATCCTCTAATTGCATATCGGATGGTATTATATCATATTGATTACTGTTTTTCCCTAGACATTTCAGGAATGAATTAATTTGTTCAAATATCCTTTTCCTAATTGCCCAAGTTGATAAGTTTTTATCTCTTGCAAAATCCTCAGACATATTTTGTTCAAACTTCATAAAAAGATCTCTTGGATTGTTTGGAGGGTAGTAATATAACAATGTTGTAAAAAGGCGTCGCAATGCATACGGCATTTGATATGTAGATGCTTCTTGTATACAAAGTTCTTGACTATTATCATCTTGTAATACCCCATGAATTAAAGCTGTCTCGCGAAAAGTTTTGATTGTTGTTCCATCGTAGGCTTTTAGGTGATCATATGGTTTTGGTCATTTTACTTTCGATAATAGTAGTCTTAAATAGTACCTTTCTCCTTCAGAAGGGTGCGCTGAAACCATCCTGCCAACAGAATTTCCCTTTTTTCTTTCTTTCCACTTTTTGCCTTGATCTAGCCATAGAAAATATTCTGGAAATTCATTATAAGTTAATTTTAATGTTTGGGCTTTTTCATTTGTCGAATTCATATGGAAAAATTCGGTTAATTTTGTTTTTTTGCGCATGGGATCCTCAATGACATCTTTTAAGCCTATCTTTTTTTCTAAATGTAACATGCTGATGATTTTCTAGATGAATTGGAAGACGTATTACAGCAGGTTTGATTTCATTGAGTACGAATCTAAAAATTCTCCAAATAGCTTCTGGTGCAGCTATCCATCTGGCTGTTTGGTATTGTTGGATTTCATCAATTAGCTTATTTGGTTGGGACGAATCAATGAAAATTGATTCGATCATTTCCTTTACATATGTATTTGTATATGTATTTAACTGCCATTATTGTTGAACAAATTTCTACATTGATATGGCAATCATATTTTGCAAATAAGTATGCATTATATGGAACAACCCATCTATTGTCAACCCATACATCCCCTATCTTAATTCTTTGAGCATTTTGCCTTCTACGATACAATGGATAGGCATCCTTCGTTTGGGTTGTTTCTGGTGAGGAATTCTTTTCGAAATGAACTTTTGCATTTTTCATCTTTCATGCAAGGGCTCTCAGGATTATGTGAACCGCAAGAACCATGTATCATATGTTTAATAACTGAATTATATAAGTGTTCATTAGTTTCTTTGTTTGGGATTTCAGCACAAACTATTTTGTCATATTCTTCAGGTCTATACATACATTTTGTATTGTGGTTTCAAAATTAGGAGAAAATGCGCATGTGGGAGACCCCTTTTTTGGTATTCTATAACAAATGTGTATGCTGCAACTTCACCTAAGATATGTCTTTGTAACAAATCTATTTTTAGTTCTTCAAATTTTGCACGAAAAAACCTAGCTTCAAGATCTGCCCTATTTTGTGCCTCTCCATTTTAAATAAGATGTTCTGTTATTTCTGGCCAATTTGGGTTACATGTCATTGTTAAAAATATGTCCGGTTTGCCAAATTTTTGTACTAAGGTCATTGCGTCTATATATTTTCTTCTCAAATTCCTTGGACCTCCTATGAAAGTTGGTGGTAAAAATATTCTTTGGCCTATTTTGGATGCATTAGTTTCTTCAGCATCATAGCTATCTTGTACTCCGTTCATGTATTCTTTCCTAATATCATCTTGCTCTCTTCTATAATAGTCTAGTCTTTGAGTTTCGAGTTTTACATACATGTCTACAATATATTGTTGTAAAAGACGACCAAAGTGTAAAAGAAAAGAGTGATCATTTTTTCTTATTTGAAACTTGTAAGAATAGTATTCTCTGAGAGACACATAGTTCGGGTCATCCTCAGAAGTTGTGAGCACAGCTCAAACATAAATAGAGGAAAATATTAGTAAATGAAAATATTTAGGCGGTAATTATTTTTAATAGCTTTAAGAAATACATGTATTTTAAACTACCGTCTTCCTCCGTCTGTAATAATTCGTCAACATTGGTAGCATCATTGGGATTTAGAGACTCTTGTTGATATCTTTTCCTCTTCGTACTATTATTTTTTGGGATTCCTTCGTGCCAATCCTAAATCTCCATATGGGAACATTAATGGATATTGTAGAGCATCATAACACCCATAATAGTATTGTATTGTTCTGGATTCATCATTGTGGGTGTAAACTCTAATGTCACGATGTTTTGGGTCACCATTTTCTTGTCCATCTACCCATAAAGCAGCTACTTGTGATTTTGTAGGCTTGTTAAATACTCTTTGGTCAACGTTAGGGATGGATCTTAAGACAATAGTTTTCTAAGTTTGGATAATCAGATAAGCTCTTGAAAAAATTAGCATAAGGGTTGTATTTTAAGATATCAATCATTTTTTGCAAGGTTGTTTCTGATAATCTGGGACATGATGAGAGTCTATTTGTAACTTTATTTTCAGTGTCAAAAAAGTAAAGTTGGAGATTATTGTTTTTTTCATTGGTGGGCATCAAATGATTAAGGAAGTGGTATACTTGTCCTTGTACTTTAAAAGTGTAAACTCCATTGTTTCGATGTACTAACTCTTTGTCACATTTGACACCAAATGAAGTGAAAGCAAACATGTTATTGTATGTTCTTATCATGTTTCTAAATTCTTTAGCTTCCGCAGAAGAAGAAATTAATAGTTCTTTAAGATTGTTTGGTATTTTATTGTTTGATAACTTAACTTGTCCGTTTGCACAACACATGAATAATGTTTCATGTGCAAATTTTACTGCTCCACAGTGGGGGCAGTCATTTTGTTTTGGTAATATAGCAGCCTTGGTTGGAATGAAATCAAGAACACATCTTCCCCTTGTAGGTATCCTTTTTTCTGTTCAATATGAATAGTTACTAAAGTAAGAATCACATTTGTAGGTTTTACAATTTATGAATTGAAAGGGGTTGAGAGTGAAAATTGTTCAAATAATAAAAATAAGAGAATGTGTTAACCTTTTTGTGTAGGCTTTGACATAAGTATTTTTACATTCCTAACACGATATCCGCGGGGTATGGGATTATTTCCAATAGCGTTATGCAACCGTTTCGCTTTCCAACGGCGTATTGCTTCACGTCGATAAGAAGTTGAGTCTAGATAGACAATTTAGGTGTGTTGGGGATTGGAATTAGGTTCAGGACTATTGATGGGATAAACCATGGTGGTTTATGAAATCTGTTATATGATTTTCATCTAAGTTAGAATGATTATAAACTATAGGCAAGTTTATGATTGTAAAATGCATAATCAACTTCAATTACATGTACAAAATAGAACATTTGCACAAATTAGTGTAGTTTCATCCTGATGATTCATATGAAAAATAATTAAATTTGAAAAAAATAAACATTTGGGAAAAAATAACAAAACATAAACAAATAATTAAATTTAGGAAAAATAAAAAATTCTCCATGTTGATTTGTCATCTATATGTACCAATATGTAGTAAGGCATATTAGAAGAAACTATGAGAGTAAAAAGAATTTTTTTTTTTTAATAAAGACCTAATTCAACAAACCTCAAACCTCCATTAGATGAAACTATGAGAGTATAAAGAATTTTTTTTATAAAGACCTAAAACTGTAATTCAAACACCTAATTCAAACCCCAAAAAAGGAACCTTATATACGTAATGACCCAACAAACCTCCATTCCCTATTATACAAACAATAATATTTATCCAGTGATTATAAAGTATGTACGTTGCATGATCTTGTAATATATGATGAGATAACAAAGTATCGAGTGATTAATCATGCATGCCCAAAAACTGTAATTCAAACACCTAATTCATGCCAAAGAAACAGTAATTAAAAAATCTTGGATCATTTTCATCCCATTAGTGTAAAAAAAAAGAGCTCTTTTACTCATTTGTATGATTTTTCAAGGATCAATACTACAGATATTAATCCAAGAATTATCACATACTCAACGGAACAGACCAAAACAAAGAATATTAATAGTCCAGAAAACCGGGAGTACATATTAATAGTCCAGAAAACACTCACTGGAACAGACCAAAACAAAGGAAATAGAATCAAACTTGCCAGTAAATTGAGGAGCTACAGTGCCAAGTGTCAGCTTCGAGAACTTGAGAGACGCCAAAACAGCTGGTCTATATTGCTTTGAGAATTTTTTACTTTTCTAACAAAAACTTAGGAGCCTTAGTATTTTTTTACTTTTCTAACATGCCCAAAAACTTGAACACTTACAATATTTAAACTCAGTATTGCGCGGCATATTCAATCTCTATATAATTGAATTAAACTCAGTATATTCTTAATCAAAATTCGGCTACGGAGGACATAAGAAAACTTACAGTAGTCACAGCAGCACTGGCAAAAGCTATGGGAACAGAACGGCAGCGGGAGCGGCAGCACACGCAAAAACTATGGAATTAAATATAAAATCAGAATTAGTAGGAGCAAAATTTATGAAAATAAATTTATTTTTACACAAATCATTATATTATCTTAAAATATAATGTGTAACAAAAACCTAATCTGCAACAACAGAAGAAAATAAGTAGCATGCGAAACGGATTGGGCTCGGAACAAAGGCGATAGAAACAGCAACAACAGAACATATGGTTCAATAGATTTAACATGACGATTTAATTTAAAAGAACCTTTTCATTCAACAAAGAGGAAGAACATATGGTTCGATAAAAAAAATTAAAAGGACGGAGTGGAATACTGATTGGATTGGGCTCGGAACAAAGGGCATAGCAAGATGAATGATGAAGATAGTTTTATTATTTTTTCTAGTTTGAGGTTTATATAGAAGGTAAAAGGGAATATTTTATGAAGAGGTAAACTTGAGGGATACATTGGTGGAGGTAGAACTTTTATCCAATTAGGAATATGAGGCTGGATAAATTAGTAGGAGTGTATTGTCGTGGACAGGAGGAATTTTATTGAAGAGGAGTGTTTGTCAAAAAAAGAGTTTGACCTATATTCTCCTTCCAACTCAAACGTGTGTGTGTGTGTGTTTTTTTTTTAACTTTAATGGCAATTAATGGCAAGTTCTCGCCATGGACGGAAGAATTACTCTGATCAGTTAAAAAACCACTCTAATTAAAAAAAAAAAGCACTGTAAATAAATTAATACGTGCCTAGATGTTTTTCCGGACGATGATCATTTGAAGGAAGCACATGTAGAATTTTTAGGTGATCAGGCCAAAGTGATACAGGAGACTAAAAAAATTTTAATAAAACAACTTGTTGGTTAATTAATTCGTTACCTGAAACGAAATAAAATTGGTTTGATTACTTAGTCCACTTTCAGAATTATTCGCCAAAAACCACTCTAATTAAAGACCTTAAATTACTCTGATCAGTTGCCTTTCTATCAATCAACTCTGATCAGAGTATATTTCACCCCGAGGAAGCCGGGATGGTGGTGGAAGCGGCGGTTTACATCAAAACTAAGTTCTATTTCATGATGGGAAATTAATGGTAATTAATAAGGTGGAAAACTCATACTAATTAATGGTAATTAATGAGGTAGAAATGCCACGTGGCAATTAAAGGGGAGCTCTTTGAAGTGTGGTTTTTGTTTCTTATATAATAAGATATATATATTGAGAACTCTAAGGACGTTGATATTTGTTTACCTTAATGTCTGATGCCGGAGTAGGACAATGCTCTTGAATCATTTCCTTAGATACAAAGCCAACACCACCATTCCAAGGTTCAGGAGGCTGCAGTACAAAATAAATAATTAAGAAAATCCAGACAGTTCATGACAGAAACAGATTGCTGTTGAATTGCTAAGTTCATGGCAGAATTTTTCATGATGGTGAAGTCTCCATGTCTTTGAAACCAGTGCCCCTGAAGATAAAAAAAAGGCTAACCTCCAACTTATTCAAAGCAGAACATTGTAATCTCAAGCATAATACAACTCCAGGCATCATACTGACATGATTGCTGAGAAAATTCTATTTTACGTCACACCAAGACCTATGTCCTTTGCTACGAGCCTCTAATTGAAAAAAGGGAAAAAGAGAGAACTTCCTTGGGCTAACTTAGACTAACCAGTTCTAACAAAACTTCCCTGGGCACCAATTTCAACAACTAAATAACACATGGATCATTGGTCCCATCCAAAAAACAAAACAAGCGTTAATCATTGTAGAAATTACCCATGCTCTAGTAATTGTCACAAATAGGTCCTCTCCGCCCGGGAAGATAGTCCATTTTGTTGGATTGAATACTATTTTCACAACACTATTCTAGTCAACAACAACATACCATGGCACTGCCTCACTCACCAACACCATATCTACGCTACCCCCTCCCAACTACTCCCGCTGCTGAAATTGTAACACTATATTGTCACTACTAAAACCTTCGCCATCACCTCCCAAATCCTGCATTGACACCACCTTGGCGGCAACGCAAAGTGTGACAACAACTTCCTCTGCAATAAATACCACTGTGAGCACACCACCACTGACGGCCATTATCAAACCTCTCCACATTTTTCTCACTTAACCACCACCTCCATCCCCAGCGTCACAATCATAAACACGCAAACACTGCCATAGCTCTGGCCACAATTACTGGCCAACTGCAGCACCACCATCAGCGTTATCTAGTCATCTTTGCCCTCACTGCCCACTCTACATACCTACCCAGCACCATCTCAGCCCCATTTTACTGAAATTACTACCACTCCAGCATCAACCCCACCACACCATTGTACTGCAGCCCTTGCCACCCCCATTCCAATTACCTCTACTTCCCTGACTGCTGCTACATCCCAATCGCTTTATTAGGGATGTTCATATTTTAAATTTTTTATTTTACCAAATCATTTTTGTGTGGATTGATCATGATTTGAAATTCAATTCTGATACAATCAATTTGACTAGAAAATTCAAATTTGATTTGAATTTATAAATTTCACTTGATTATTCACAATTTGAAAATACAATTCCTAATGGTTGAATTTCATAAAGTTTCGTAACATAAATTCTATAATCTGATTCATGAATGCGAGTGAAATGAAATCAGATCTTTCATCGTTGAAAGCATAGTTGTTCCTAAGGTATGTAAGGTGGCTTTAAGCAACCATACTAGAAAGTTTTCTCTATGCAAGTAGATATGGTACATATACATGAGACAGTATCTCAGAGAATTCAAAGGAATGACAGTTTCAAAGTTAACAAAAAACCCACAACAAATTAAAAAGACAAGGACTGGACTAGCTGAGAAACCATTTTGCAAGAATTATCGATATTTGGAAGCAGTAAACCAGTGCCAAAAAGAAACTAAATACAGAATGCAGAAGCAAAAGACTAACCTGGTTCAATACATAGTAGACTTTGAACCAAGTAGGATAGTCAGCAGCCAAACTATCTAACTCTTCCTGCGTGCAAGAACGGGAGGGGGGACACAGATATGAAGATTCAAAGCCAATACAAATTGATATGAAGCCAACATCAAATTACTTCAACATTCTCAATTTAATGTTTACTTTTGAGAAATCCTACAACTATGTTGATCAAAAGTGAATTGGCAATGTTCTGGAACATGATATGATAGTACAATCAACTAAAGAAGTTACCTTCAATAGGATGTCCTCGTATGTAACATTAGCATAAATGAGGTACACTTCTGTTTTGTCATTTGGGTTCTCTAAAACAGCTCTAGCAACCTGCAGACAAGACAAAAAGAAGGGCCTTAGCATGTTGGACCCAGGCTTTCAGGAAATGAGTTGCAATTCGCAGGCAAAGAAAATCCATTCTGCAACAATGATGAAAAAGAACCTGAAACATTGGTGTAATGCCAGAGCCTCCAGCAAGCATTCCGAAAGCTCTAACTTGTCCAGGTTGATACCTGAAACGACCCTGAAAAGAAAATGCAACCATTGCTGATAATACATTATGCTTTCTAAAAAGGAGTCGCAGAAATGCCCACAATATAAAATTGAATGAAATAATCAACTGATGTCAGAAGATACTTTATCAGCATATGTTCCAGTAAGTTTCAATAAAATGTTGCTTCAATCAGGAAATTGAGTATACAACAGGTACATAGTTTGCAAAAAATTTGTGATCTGAATGGCTATTATTTTTAAAAACTATTTGGTGAATATTATTGGCTGTCAGCCTCAAAAATGCATTTATGTCATTTGGAATTTAAATGAACAGACGAGACCAAATTCGGGCATGGTTCTTGTTTTATTATAAGGAGCTTTATATAGTCTGATACTGATCTTTCAAGGAAGCCTTGAATGCATTTTCCCATCCATCAATTGAAGAATACGAGGATAAAATCAGTAGAAGTTTCTCGATACATCACAGATGAAACGCAGAGAGGCCATGAGACTCAAAAGAAACAAACAACTTGTAAGACAGATAGTGGAACCACAAGGCTTCCAAAGATTTGTAAGGCAGAGAACTCTTATGTATGAACGAGAACAGCAAAAAAGCCATGGATCAACTTCCTACACCACTGATAACCAAATTAGAAGAGCTTTTCCTTCTTTTAAATGAAAACTTAAGCATACTCAGAAAATGTTTAACATTTATTCCAGTAGTCCCACAGTTATAGCTCGACAGAAAAGATCTTCCATGATACATTTCTTCACAAGATGAAACTTTTTACCTAATCAAGCAACACAATAAATTCCGTACGAGCATAAAGAAGCAGTATTCAGAGAGCATGCGAAAGCAATTCATTTTCTTTATGTATGGCAGGGAGAGATAGACTTTTTCTTAACTCTTGTCTATAACAGTAGTAAAAACATGGCAAGACTTGTAAACATTAACCAAAATGGACAAGTGCCCATTATGAGTCCACAATGAACATCCACATCCAAGTGTAATAGAGAGTTTAGCAACCATCCGGATATCTGGACCAGTATGCACTCAATAGTTTACATTTAGATTTTTAGTCTTGGACCTAGAGTGCCACAAATATGAGTAGTCTATATCAATAAATCAACAAAAACAGACATTCTGTATTTTCGGGAATAATACAATTTGTGATGAGAAGTATTTAACAACAAAGAAGAGAATGAACCCATTCAAAAACATAGAAATAAACAGATTGACCTTAGGTCCTTTAACAGCCATATAATCTCCGACACGCATTTCCCTGAAATGGTGAGACATCCGTCCTTGAGGATACATCTAAATGTTTTACAAAACCAATGGCAAACAATGAAGAAAACATTAGTTGCCAAAACAAACTCCCATCATGCAAAATAAAAATCATATGACACTTACCTTTATAACTAGTTCAAAATACCCAACATCAGAATCCAAGGTTGTTGGAGTATATGGCTTAGTGACCTCTTCACCTTGACTATCCGTGCCCCTAGCCATGCCAGAAAACATAGAAAGAAACTAAGAGTAAAGCCCTCAGATATCCACTATATCATACACAAACTGTTACAGAAATCGATTCGAAGCACCCTTACTTGCAGCTTATGTGTTGTCCAATGGGAAGCCCCAATACGGAGGTGGGCGTTGGAAGCTCAAATCTGAACTTTGCCACATTATGGCTAAGCTGAGTACGGTTCACGAGCTTGAAATTCTTCCATTTCTCGGAATCTAAGCAGACTGTTGATCAAATAACAGGTTGTCTGTCAATTGTCAAGAACTTCTCAAAATCTTCACTGGAGCCATATGGGAAAAGTAAAATGGCAAAACACCACAAGAAGTTGACAGCCCATATGATAAATCCATTCAAAATTCAATAAATCGACCCGAAAAGGGAAAAAGGATAAAAACAAAAGAAAACAATAGCAACTATTCAAGAATCGTCCATTATCAAATTCTACAAAAGATGGATTCTTTACATGATTACTAATCCATAAGGGAAGAGATAAAAATCCTTGAAATACCTTTAGATTTCTTGGAGGAGTACAAGTAAAAAGCAGCGACACCAACAGCAACAACAGCAACGGCAACACTAATAATCTGGGCTTCTGTGATTTTCAAAAACTCCATCCCTTTATACTGGCGCAAAAGGCCTGAATTTATATTTTTCCAAGAGATTCGATTCAATTCAACCCCTCAACGATAAATTATTGGGAAAAAAGAAGATGAGAAACGAATTTGATGGCGGGGCAGCAAACTTTTCAGGAATCAGTCACACAGTATCAGTCTCAGTCGTTCACCTATCGTTCGTTCCAAAGTTTCCGAATCCTCGGTTTTGCTTCATATGCCCCCCGAGTTTAAAAAAAATTACCCGCGCGTGCGCCAATTTTTAAAATGCCAAAATACTTCCTTTTTTTAATTTTCCTGCATAATTTTCATTAAACTTAAGAAATTGCAGAAAAATAGAGTAATATGAAGAAAGATGAATTTTGTGGAAATTAGGAGAATTTTCCAACTAATTTTAATACTACTATCTTATTTCTGAAATTTTTTTATAGCATCACTAGGTGTTGCCCGTGCAAAAGGCTTTAAAAATAAACAAATTACAACAACTTTAATGCAAAAACAATGAAGATGAAAAAATAATGTTGTTAAATTCACTGCATGTCCGATCACTTTTATGTTAGTATATTATTTTTATTTTTCCATGTTCAAATCTTTAAAGGTACTCACGAAAAACACAAATTTCAAAACTTCCTTATTCTTTTTGTGGGAGACCGAGACGCCAATTTGTCAAAAGTCTAGAAAATTTTACTCAGTAGAAAGGTATGCTAACAAATGTTATGTTGAAAAACTGATGAAAATGAATCAATTAACATATTACAAAGCTATCTCTAATCCAGAATGCTTTAAAAGATAGTATCATCAACGCTTTAAAAGATATCATCATCATTGGAAGACACCATAAATTTCATAGACATGCAACTACATCAGTTTTATTCTTTTTTCCCCAATATGAATGCAAAGTTCTCTACTTTAATAAACTTTAATCTTAATTCATCATCATCCCAATATGAAGAAAATACGGTATTCAATTCAAGCTGAACTTTCTAAAGAAAGATCCAACAAAATCAGATTCTCTTAAAGTCAACATTAAAGTTCTGAACAAAAATAGAATTTTAACAATTTGCTTCATGTCCACTCTTCCAGAAAAAATAAAGGTACTTTTTGAGAAGGTCACCACCATGTCTATTCTCTTCAGCAGACCAGATGGGCCATGAAATGAGGCTAGCACCTACATCTCGCCCTCCATCAAGGTGAGGAGCTTCTTCCATGATCCTATCATCGAGAATTTCCTTGCATCTTTCCTTGATCTTGAAGTAGTAAGATACCACATTGAGTCGGCATAAAATTTACTTTCTTCTGTAATCATTGATGGGTTCAATGTCACTGTTAATAAACAGTCTTGCATTGAATTTAGAATTTTGGACATACCGTCTGCATATCTGGGAGAAAAATAATGCCATCAAATATCAATACAGAATTATAATATTATCTCAAATAATAATAGCTTATAAATCCATACACCAGTGCTTAGTCTAAAGAAAATCATTATTCTTAAACAATCCCCGAAAAACAATATTTGCAGAGTTGCATTTTCGGAGTTCAGGCGAGCAAAATGATCATTTAGAACTATAAATACACATTTACTTTTTCCACCTGAAATAAAACGCTTACCCCAAATAAGTAAATATAAAAGTAGCCGACAGGATTCGAAAGTATAGTTTCAGTTACAAAATTCATCTTTTTTTTATTAGGAATAGCAGCAATACCACAACTTATATTAAAATACTACCCTCTCCAGTAGTCAGCCATCTTTAAAGAAAAACTATTTACTACTACAATAGTAAAAGACCATTTGTCTTATTCAACATTTGAGGAGGTGCATTCTTGCAAATAACGTGAGCAATATGAAATTATGAAACTAAAAATACCAGCAAATTGATAATACAGACAATTCAACAAAACAGCCATATGTAAAAAAATTGATAATACAGTAAATTAAACTTAAATATCTATAAAACTCACCATTGAATTCTTTCGGTACGGCATGTTCAAGAGTCATTATTACATGGCCCTGATCATTGACTTTCATGTAACGATGTTGTAGTAATATGATCCCTGAAAACATTGGCAAGACCAGTTTCTATATATGAATCATTAATATCCCAAAAAATAAACCTGTTATAGTGTAGTTCTTAGATGTGCACTTGAATTCATAGTTTTTCCACTAGCGGCTGTAGCGGCAACGGGTATAGCACTTCCACCATCGGCACCAATATTCAAACATTCAAGATGAAATCTTCAACCACGACTTATAGCTAATAGGGACTTTTTTGGATGATGTGGATTGTAGTTTGGATCAACGATGGATATGTATTTATAACAAATATTAAAAATTAAAACTCCATATAATTGACTCCCAGTAATAATTAAACTTTTAAGAATTTAATTTATACAACTAGTGCCAGGAAAATGTATTAACAAACTATCTTATCCGGTTAACCTGTAAATTTCAAAAAAATAAAATAAAATAAATATTAAACTCGCATAACAAATCACTATTATCCTAACAAAGTTTATTAACAATGTTTTTTAAAAAAACAAATGGATAATTATATATTTTAAACAAAGATAAATGATATATAAATTGGTGTAGTTTTTTTTTCCTTTTAAATAAATAAAAAATTAGAGAAAATTGCTAGTCCTATGTGGCAAGTAGAAAACTACATCAGTTTTCTCTATCTGGGTTTTCTATTATTAAGTTATATAGATAGATTTCGATAGGTCATAAGTTGTTAGTAAACTGCCATACTATTTTTGAGTATTTATATAATGTTTTAGAGCATTTTAATGTTTTTTTTAGCAAAGAGTTCAAAAATAATGTCCCATTCGATAAAACTTAATTTAGCATCTGAAATCTAAAATCTGAATAATGAATAATAAGTATTGATATTTGTACTTGCATTTTATATTTGTAATTATCAAGTGTACTTAAAAATTAAGTACTTAATTACAATTAAGTTGTTATCAAATTTTGTTATCAAAAGGTGTCAATCTATTAAGCACTTAAACAATTAAGTTCAGCGTCAATGTATTAAATACTTATCAATTAAGTTTAAGTGCTGAATGTATTTATCAAAAGGACTAAATATTTTGAAGCAATATTGACATTGAGAAAGCGACGGAGATAGAAACAACATTTTTCTGACAAATTGGTAGTAGTGTTGCATTTCCGTTTGGGCAAACAAAAATAGGGACCAAAACGAAAAAATAAACAATATTGGGGCTAAATATAAACAATTGAAACTTTAGAATCACACATGCAATTTTCTATTCGTTCTTCCTCACTAGAAAAGTCATCAATACCACCTGTGTAATTGCCATAGACGCATCCACCAACTAATTAAATTACAGCCTGCCAATCTTATATCAAATCGGATCCGTCTTCCATCGCTTCAAGGAGCTTATCATCTCATCTCCACTTTGAATCAAAATCCATATTCTTTGCTGCATTTTTTTCTTGCCAATTTTGCACAAAATTAACACCAATTGACGTCTGTTTGATTCTTGTACTCAAATTTCAGTAATTTACGGCACGTTTTGGTTCGATTCGAATTCTTATATTTAGTGATTTCAGTTCTTGTTACTGCCCTACTTCTTTTTACACCCAAATTAGAAATTACCATTCAAACCTCAACTTAATGCCTCCTCTTCGTTTTGTTTAAATCTTTGTCCATAATAGTACCAACTTTTCTATATCTATGTTTACGTTTGTGTTTCGGATTCTTACTAGATAATAATAATGACAATTTGTTCCTTAAGACTTCAAGGGTGAATTATTATTATTTTTGTTCATTGTCTTTCGCAAAGTCAAGAAACATAAACAACTAACATTTATTTCTTACACAAAACACTATTTAAATGGTGTTAAATGACTAGCACGGAAAGTTTTTGTTGATTATTTTTTAATTCGACCAAACATCATAGGTAGGAACTATACATATTGTTGTATCTCCACCAATCAACAACAATCCAGTTCTAAAATACGTGGCTATTGACTCCTCAAATCAATGTTAATATTATTACTATTGTGAATTTCTTTTGCTTCCTGCCTTCCTCCCATCACCAAAGCATATATTCTAACGATTGAAAATCACTCTCCCTTCTCTCTAAAATAAGAGGGAGAAACCTCCTCTCTACGGAGAGGGGTCTACTAAATACATATATATTCAAGCCAAACCATTCCTAATTACTAAACATTTTGTTCCTCTGAACCAAATACCACTCCCTAAGCACACTGTTTTTAAGTATTTGCATGTAGATTTGGGTTAAGATCTGGCCACTTGGGATACATGCAAATTAAAAGAGCTACGAAATCCAACCTTTCATATTAATTTATTGAAAAATCAGCACTATATGGGAATGAAGAAAGCTTACTTTATTAGATCTGAGAGACGATTGCTTGGTCCAAGAGCCAAAAGTTGGCTGCCATTTCAAATATCCCCCAGTTTTCTTTTCCTTAGAAATGGATAGTCTCTACTTTCTATAAGCAGCTATCTTCGATTTTTGTTGTGTCGATCCCCTTAGTATTCCACCTTAAATGTTTTGTGGACTACTTTAAAAATTCTCCTTTAAATTAATTACAGTACAATCCCTCTTTTTTCTATACCTCATTGGTGTGAATCTACAGTACAGTTTGGCATCGTTCTTAAAATTCCTTATTTTGGTCTTTTCTTTAAAGTACAAACAAATAAATTCTGGGAATAGGTGGCGCATTTAAGTTTGTTCAACTTCCTAATTATTAGATCTGACCATCTATATATCATTACATGATGAATCGATCACATGCAAGTGAAAATTCTGCGAAAAGTGTCTATACACCCCAAGGGACAGAATACTCGGACGAGATCAGGAACTACCATCCCCTTCATGATGTTCATCCAAATATGGTCTACCGGCCCAACATGAGAGTCATCAACTTGCAGATCTCATCGGAGGCGGAGGCTCTATCAACGAAGCACCAATCTTTGTCATTATTGGGCTATCTGATAGATGACGATACTTTAATGGCGAGTAAATGTAGAGTTATCTTCATAGGAACTGGGCAATGTATGCCAGAGTGTTGCACTATGACAAGAATTTCTTTGTCATCCATTTCCCTCTGCAAGACTGACCTTCTGGTTGTGCTTGATAATGGTCCTTATGCGGTGCATAACGGTCATCTCATCCTCCGACGATGGTATAAAGATGATGATATATTCTTAGATCGTGTTCGCATCACAGAGCTTTTGATCTGGGTCAGGCTTCACAAAACTCCTCTGCTTAACTACAACTAGAGGGCTGCTAGAGAATTAGTGGTGCATCTGGGAAAAGTAGAGAAAATCAAAGAGGATTATTTCTCAATGCAAAAGGTCACTTATATCAGGGCAATCTGGGTTGAGCCAGGAAATCCGTTATCCCCAGCCTTTTATGAAGTCTCGTCGAGGGGAACCCCCAATCTGATTGAATGCTGCTACGAGAGTCTACACAACTTCGGTAGAAGATGTGGAAGATTAGGATACCCCAACCACAAATGATCTATAGAATCAGATGTGGCGCTGGAGGCATTTTTGGATGATTATTTTGATGTACAGGAACGAACTCCGAAAGATGTTTTCAGAAACTAGAGAGCAGATGGTCATAAGAATCGACGATGTTCCAGATTGACAGCGGCCTTTCTGAATAGGACACGAGATTACTATGCCTTGGTAGAAGTGCAAAGGATTCAGGATGGATTTCGTATCACTATGGCTGAAGATCAGAGATTTCAGCCGATGAACATTGACCCGCCACCAGAAGTTGATAATGATGGCAATGACGGGGATGTCAATGATAATGATAATGGAAATAAAGATCATGGAAATGGTGGTGGAGATGGAAATAATGGTGGCCCTGATAATAATCCTGGAAATGGGGAGCAAGAAGATATGGACCTGGAAGGTGGGACAGAGGATGATCAACCTGACGATCCACTGCCAGGTGGCATTCAGCCGCCTTTTGAGAATGGTTTTCATCAAGCCCCAGAAAATTCGCCTCCATCAAGTCGTGATGATAGAGGTAATTCTCTATCTGGAATTACAGTTATTCATCACATTTTTCAGAAGAAGAAATTGTTGATGATAATGATTCCCTGTCGAGTCTACCTTGCCTTCATCAGTAGATTTGGAGAGTTTCAATGTTTCTTCTAATAAATTGTTAAGTGTGTTAATAGATAGATTCTCTGAAAGGGCTTTGTATGATTTCACTGAAAATATTTATCATGATCTAGATGTAAATAGTCTCTACTCAAGATGTTGATATTGACTCATTAGGAGTTAGACTAGAAGAGCAGCCAGAGGAGATGGTAGGAAACATTGTTCTATCTCCTAATCCAATAGCTGTAGGATTTGATGATATCCCTGATTGGTGGAGACCATGGGGCTTTTTCTGTAATGCTCAGTCAAACAACTTAGAGAATGAAGTGAATCAGGGATATAGTCAGGTTAAAGTAATAGTGAGTGAAACAATGTTGACAGAAGTGGTTGATCACCAAGAAGCTGAGTACCAGTTGGAAGAACAAGCATCTCAGTACTTTAGCAGGATCCTCATGCAAGGAGAGAAGATTAACAAATTTGAGGAAGACATCATCTTGACGTGGCCTCTGAGTAACTCCACTCCAGGAAATCAAGATCAAGTTCAAACAGTTCCTAGTGGTTTTTTGAGTGCAGGGTGTAGCAGTGGCAAGCGTACAAGGTGGATCCCCCATGCAGGCAGTAAGAAGCTGAAGAAGATGGGGTGTCAGTTTTCAAGTCAAAAAAGGGAAGGCGAAGATGTTTCAGCAACAAATCCAGCAGAAGCATGGTCAACAAATGCATCCAGAAGCCTCAACAGTGATCAGCTCCAAGGACCCATAGCACAAGGAGACTCACAGGTCTTTGGATAGGATTAACAGGTGGAGGAGAATGAATGATGCAGGAAAGGAGAGAAAGATGTCTGGTGACTATGGATGTTCCAGGGTAAAGGGGATTTCCAAGAAGCGTTGCAGGACATGTGTAGGTGCAAAGGAGCCAGAGCTGATGAATCAAAAGCAAAGGAAGATGAAGACTGGAAATGGCACTTTTAATTCATCTGCTCTCACTTATTTAATATTTGATTTTGATAACAAGTTGTTGGTCCAGGGGGTTCAGCGAGGACTTGCGGTGGTTGATCCTAAACAACCGCCTCAAGCTCCATGAGAGTCCTCAACTAGAATTGTAGGGAATGAATAATGCTTCAACTAAGCAAGTACTTTTGTAAATTATTAAAACAGTATAGTCCTAGCTTTTTATTTTTGATGGAAACCAAGATGGTTTCAAGCAGTTTAGATGTTTGGCAGCAAGGCACATGCTTTAGGCACTCTATTGTAGTAGATCCAGTAGGATCAAGTGGAGGACTAGCCTTATTTTGGGTAGATGGTGTTTTATTCTCCTTGCTACTTAAAACTAACAATATTATCGTAGTGAAGGTAGTAGAAGCTAGAGGACTAGAATGGGTTGCTATCTTTTTGTACGGACTTCCTTCTCGCCAAGGTCCAAATTTTGGTCTGATCTAAATAGCACTCTTCTTCCTTACTCATACCCTAGCATAATTTTAGGAGATTTCAACCAAGTCATCGATAAAACAAATCTAGGGGAAGAGCAGTTAGAGATGGTGATACAACGGCTTTAAAAAGCTTCCTATCCAAACATGAACTTGAAGAACTTAGACATTTAGGATGTTGGTATACTTGGTCTAATAATGGACAAGGTGACCAACTTATATATGAGAGATTGGACAGAGCGTTTGTTAATAAGGAATGGCTACAACACTTCAATTAGGCCATTATCAGAAATTTGCCTATTCTAAACTCTGATCATGGCCCTATTCTGGTGGAATTGAAAGAGCAGTTAAAGGGAAGAAAAAGATTAAAAGCCTTTGAACAATTCTTGGTGAGATGCAACAGATCAAAAGAAATTGTGGATCAAGTGTGAAAAAAAAGTCCTCAACCAGGTCAAAATACTCAACTAGAACTATCTTTTAGATTGCAAGATGTCTAAACGATCTTCACAACTGGAGTAGAGCTAATTTTTAGGATCTGGATAAGCATGTCCAAAAATTGATGGGGGAAGCAAATATTCAGCAACATTTTTGGGAGACGCATCAACAGGATGACCAAGCACATAAAAAACTCCTACAACTTAAGAAGCATTGAGAATGCAAGAAGATTATTGGAGACAAAGGGCCAAACTGATTTGGCATTTTTAAGGAGACATGAACACAGAATTTTTTCGCAAATGAGCGTCTAGGAAGAAAGGCATTAAATGCATCACGGAACTAATAGACATGGAAGAAAACTGGATTCAAGATCCTAATCAATTTAGGCAAATAATTAACATCCACTTTTCATACATATATAATGCCCTCAGGAACAATATGTACAAGAAAGGGATGACTGGTCATTGGATCATTTGTTTGAGAACATGGAGGACACTTTGTCATCAGAACAACAACAATTCCTATCAACTCCTTTCTCAGAGGAAGAAGTGTGGCAAGCTATTAAAGATATGTCTCCTTGGAAATCCCTTGGTTCAGATGGTATGCCACTAGGGTTTTATCAGACATATTTGAAATAAATCAAAACAGAGGTGGTACAAGCTATCTTAGGAGTAACAAAGGATGTTGAACTGCCAAAGGAGTGGAACCAAACAAACTTGAGATTTCCCATCAGCTTATGCAATTTCAAGTACAAGATAATTTCCAAGATGATTACAAACAGACTAAAATCAATTATGAATGATCTAATTGATGAGCTTGTGGAGTACATCAAGAAGAGAAAGGGCAAAGTTGGTGTGGCTGCAGTTAAGGTGGATATGAGTAAAGCGTATGATAGAGTGTTGTGGTGTTTCCTCAAAGAAGTACTCAGAGTGAAATTCCCTATGAACATAGTCAGCCTCATTTATCAGTGTGTGCCATCTGTTACCTACTCAATCCTTTTTAATGGGGAGTAATTAGAATTCTTCACACCAAATAAAGGACTCAGACAAGGTTGCCCCTTGTCTCCATACTTATTCATACTTTGTTAGCAGGCATTATCATCAGCCATCAGATTAGAACTGAGAAGATCACTGAGTCTAGGAATCAAAATAAGCAACTCCGCTCTTAGGATAAGTCACCTAATGTATGCGGATGATAGTTTGTTTTTCCTGGAATGTAAGGAGTCATCAACAAAGGCTTTAGCTAATCTTATCAGGCAATATGCAAGGTTATCAAGTCAAAAGGTGAGTCATGCCAAATTCTCCATTCTACTGAGTTCTAACACTCCTGAACAACAAAGTAATATCCTGCATCGCGCCCTAGAGATTACATCCACCAATTTTCAGAGTAGATATCTAGGCATGAGTTTGGATTTTGAAGAGAAGAAAAATATCATCTTTGAGGAGTTCACAAAAAAGCTCAGCAGCAAGTTTGGTGACTAGAAAATGAAGATGATGTCCTTGGCAGGAAGAGTTACCTTAGCGAAGACAACCTTATCATCAATGATAATTTACCCTATGGGAGTTTTCAAACTGCCACCAGGTACATTACAAAAGACAAATCAGATTATTGGCAAATTCATCTGGAAGGGGGATAATGAAAACAAAGGAATTCATTGCCTAGCCTGGTTCAAAATCTGCCAGTCCTCTTTACATGGTGGTTTGGGGTTACGGTCAACACAAGAATTTAACCAAGCTTTGCTTGCAAAGCACACCTGGAAGATTATTTCAGCTCCAATGTCTCTGATCTCTCTTTTTTTCAGGGGAAAGTATCATAAAGGTGGATGCTTCTCAATGGCGGATAATATGAGTAACTTATCATGGGGATATAGGAGTATTCTATAGGGATATGACCGGCTCAAAGGCAATATCAAATGGAAAGTTATATCAGGAAAAAATATTAAGATCAATGATAATTGGATCCCTCACCAGGACAATCCAATTGCTGATGATTCAATCGTGGCAACTAACTCAAATTTGAGAATGCAGCATTTGATATCCTCTTTTGGTTCCTGGAAGGAGTCTCTTCTAAGAAGGATTTTTCCACCCCAAGTGACTCTGCATCCAAGGCTTACACATTGATCCCAGTTTGGCTGATAAGGATGATAAACTTCTGTGGACAGAGGCAGAACATGGCAATTACACTATTAAATCCGGATACAAAGTTGCTTATAATAAAGGCCATCCATCGGATACCAACAGAGTGGCTTATGAGAAGAAGGCTTGGAAGCACTTGTGGAAGAGTAATGTGCCACCAAAGATAAAGTTACTCATATGGAGAAGGATTCATGAAGCACTTCCAACCAAAGAAGGCCTTCAAAAGCGAGGAGTTCTGGATGACGTACAATGACCTCGATGCCAAATTGACCCTGAGAGTGTCTCTCATCTCTTTTTGGATTGTGAATGGTCTAAAAAAAATATGAAGGATTTCATCTTTGGGTTTCAATTTTGATAATGGACAAAGAAGAAGCTTCAAAGAATGGTTTTTGGATTGGCTGATCAATGCGCCAAGAGATGAACCAATAACTATGTCCATCTTCATTGTTTGGAGAATCTAGCTACACAGAAATAACCAAATATGGAGGCATCAATAGGGAGATGTCTTGCAAGCATGGAATTATTGCAAGCGTGGAATAAGATTAAAGAATACTTTAGTCTCCATCAGAATTTATGCCACAAGAAAAAGTCAAACTCCCGGAAAGATGCAATACATGCTGATGAAATCATCAGCATGAATGAGGCGTTCACAGGAGCACACGAACATGAAGTCATCTTGGATGGATCCTTCAACTCAAGATCTAAATTGGCTACAGGAGCTTGGAAAATATCCAACAATCATGGAATTGTTCGCAAACTAATGTCCAATACAATGTTCCAAACAAAGGTTCTAGTAAATTATTTATTTAGGAGATGATATATTTAATTTATATAACTTCTCTACTAGAGACTTTAATATAATAACTTTATAATAATCAAAATGTTATGAAATAATTATAATGCTTAAAGGGAGAGAGAGAAGGTGATTAAAAGAAGAAATAAGGTAAGAAGCAAAGTAGGGGGAAATTTACTCATGTATATTTTTTGGTGCAATTTTACCACTACATAAGCCTCCTATTTATAGTCATCACCTAATGGTAATTTTATAAATATATAATAAGTAGGTTTACATCAAAATCAAAGTACTATACTTAATAGTATTCCTTGCTTAATGCATGCTCACATTTAATATATATTTTGCCATTCATATTGCAACACTCCCCCTTGGATGGCAAAATATTATTGATTACGCTTAAATACTGCCTCGTTAAAAACCTTGCCAAAGAAAAACCCAGTGGGAAAAAAAACTTTGGCTAAGGAAAAAAGAGTACAGTGCGTAATTTTCCCCCCCTGATAATAACATCGATAATTGTTCACATGTTGTGTAGGCGTCGCATACCGATGTTATGAACATGCTTTCTAAATGTTGTAGTAGGAAGCGCCTTCGTGAAGAGATCAGCTAAATTATTATTTGACATGATATATTGAACATCTATGTCATTTTTCTTGATGAGCTCTTGCGTATATGCGAAGAATTTCGGAGGTATATGTTTCGTCCGGTCATTCTTGACATATCCTTCTTTTAACTGTTGAAGACATGCAGAATTATCCTCATATAAGCTAGTTGGACCTTTCTCGACTGGTAGACCACACGATGTTTTGATGTGTTGTATCATCGACCTAAGCCAAACACATTCTCTACTTGTTTCGTGCAATGCAATTATTTCTGCGTGATTTGAAGAAGTAGAAACCAATGTTTGCTTCTGTGAACGCCAAGAAATTGCAGTTCCTCCATATATAAACACATATCCAGTCTGAGATTTTCCATTGTGAGGATCAGATAAATAACCTGCATCTGCATAACAAACCAAATCTTGTTTCGAGTCATTAGGATAAAATAAGCCTAAATCAATACTTCCCCGAAGATAACGAAATATGTGCTTGATCCCGTTCCAATGCCTTCTTGTTGGTGATGAGATGTGTCTTGCTAATAAATTAACTGCAAAAGAAATATCAGGTCTAGTACAGTTAGCAA